CACACACACAAACACACACAAACACACACACACAACACACACACACACACACAACACACACCACACAAACCCAAAAAAAACCCACACACACACAACTCACCACGACACACACACACTACACAACACACACCCACAACACACACACACACAAACACACACACATCAACACACACACACACACACATACACACACACACACACACACACACACACGACACACACACACACACTCATAACTAAAAATGTAAAAACCTATCAAACTCACGAAGTCCCACTGTCAGACGTCCTACTGGCCCATGTGGAGGCCGAATCCAAGACTCCTACCGGTTAAGCCAATGCACACACCTAGTCAGGTCATGTCACATTGACTTAAAGTAGGCACACGGCAACCGACTTGGTAGCACAAGCAATCAGGTCCAACTCACACCGCACCCACATCCACACATGTATTTATCCAACCTATTTTAAAGCTACACAACTTCTGGCCTCTATAACTGTACTTTGGGAGTTTGTTCCACTCATCCACACTCTATACAAAACCAGTACTTTCCAATATCCTTCCTGAATCTGAAATTTTTCCAACTTAAAACCTTGCTGCGAGTCCTGTCTAGCTAAATATTTTCAACACACTAATTGCATTCATCCTTTATTTATCCTGTCTTCCATTTATACACCGTCAATCATATCCCCCTAATTCTAACGTCCTTTCTAGAGAGTGCACATTCAGGGCCCTTAGTCTATCTTCGTAAGGGAAGTTACTGTTACATGGGATCAACTTTCATCCTTCCCTTTTGTGCATTTTTCCAGATCATTTATATCCCATTCTGTAATACGGTGACCAAAACTGTGCAGCATAATCTAAATGAGGCCTAACCAAGGATGTAATAGAGTTAAGAAACCAACCTGAGGACTCCCTATTATTTTGATTGCTTCTTATTATGAAGCCAAGATTCCCTATTAGCTTTATTGTGAACGCTTATGCACTGTTTGTCTTGGTTTCATATGACTTGCTAACCAGAACTTCCTAATCTTTTCGCATCCGTAAATATTTAAGATCTACTTTATTTAGTTTATATGTGGCAACGGTTATTTAACTGTCCAACATTTAGAACCTTGCATTTGTCTATATTAAACTTCATCTGCACTTATTCTCCGACCACACATCAGTCCATTCAAACTTCCTGGAATGCTCTAATTGTCCTCGTCAGAAGAATTCGGACGGCCTATTTTGTGTCATCGGCTAAAACTGCTGTCGCTCTTTATGGGCCCACGTCTATGTCGTTTTTATGTAGATTGTGAACAGCAGGGGGCCACAACACTGACCCCTGTGGAACAACCCGCTCGTGACGCTTTCCCCACTCTGATTTCTCCCCCCATTTATGCAACGCTCTGCTGCCTATTTGTCAACCTGCCCTCTATCCAGAAAAAATTTCTTCTCCTATTCCATGTGCCTTAATTTTCCTCAATAGTTCTCCTGATGTGGGACCCTGTCATAAGCCTGACTGAAGTCCATATACACATATCATATTCATTACCATGATCTACTTCCTCAAATACCTAAGTGATAAAGTTAATAAATTCGTAAGGCAGGAACGCCCCTTTTGTAAAACCATGCGGAGATTCGTTGATAATTTAAGCTTTTCAAGTGGCTAAGAACTGCCTCGGCAATTATTGATTCCACAAAGTTTCCCACTTAATGGAGTTAGGATTATTGATTGGTCTATAGTTCGAAGCTAAGGACCCTGTCACCTGCTTTGAAATATAGGTATCACATTTGCCATTTTCCACTTATCTGGCACCATGCCAGTTTGTAGTGATATGTTTGAAAAGATTACCAAGGTTTGCCTAAGCTCCTCTTTAACATCCTTTAGACCCTTGCATACAGTTCATCCAGGGCCTGGGGATTTGTTTAGGTTTTAATTTATTATCTATTTGCCTAAGGACCATGTCCACTTGTGACCCTAATCTTGCACAGTTTATTATCGTCCTGTTCTACATAATTTATCATTTCTGGAATATCCGCTGTATCCTCCTGTGTAAAAACTGAGAGGAAGTATGTGTTAAAAATTCGACACATTTCCTTATCACTTGTCAGCGAGCTGACCCGAGAACTTTTGAGTGGGCCTACTTGTCCCTGATCTACTTCTGTATTACCTGAAAGAATTCTTTTGGGTTAGTCCTTCGATTCTCTGCAACTTTAACCTCATAATCTCTTTTTGCTTTTCTAATTCATGAAACCTTTTTATTTCTCTCTTAACTGGATATAATCTATTTCTTAATTGCCCCTCTCCTCTTTTGGGGATTTGCCTATATATCTCTCTTCTACCAATCAGATATTTTAATCTATTGTTCATGATCCATTTAGGGATCATTTTTGTTTATCTGAATTTCCCTATTATGGAACATAATTGACTGAGCAAGCTAGAAGCTATGCCCTGGAAACGTCCATATCGGCAACCATCATCACCTACCTGACCCTTAGTCAGGTCATTCCAGTTCAGCCCACCTAAGTAATTTTTCAGTCCTATGAAATCAGCCAAGCGAAAGTCAGGGACCGAGACTTGATTGCCATTATTAGGGGAATTCCATGATATATTAAAACTGATTATCAAAACATTTCATGGTCTTTCTCCCTCCCTCCATACGTCATCCTTACATCCCTGTAAACGTATTTCTCATTCTCCTGCCTCAATAACTCTCTTCCTCATGATCCTTCTGCCTCACTCTTGGGTATTTATCTTAGTGATCTTGCAATTCCAGATCTCCCTCCCACATGTCACCCTCTAACAGCTAACTTATATATTACAAACGTTTGTGAATCTTCATTACTTAACGAGTGACCTCATAGGCAAATAATGAAGGAACCCGTAGTAAATACTTAACGAGGAATCCCGTAGTAGCTACTAGGGATGTAACAAAGTATCGGTATCGGCCATTTTTTGCGGTATTGATATAAGCTGAAACCCTGCCGATACCAGCTGATACTTTTTAAAATATTACACTCAACCTCACGATTCTGAAAGTCTCTCTCTCTCTCTCACACACACACAACACACACACACACACAACACACACACACACACACACACACACACACACACACACACACACACACACACTGTCGACAAGTGCCTTTGACACAGGTCAAATACTGAGTACTAACATTATCATCTCAGAAAAATAATGTTATCTAACACTTTCCTGTGTTATTGAATATCAATTGTGCAGTAAATATTCTTTTTTTATACTAACCAAAGTCATAATTTTAATAGTAAATAATATAGGACGAGTATCGGTATTTGTCTATAATTTAATATCGGTATCGGCAAAACATGATATTGTTCCATCCCTCGTTAATACTTAACGAGGGATCTCGTTGTAAATGTTTTTATGTGGACAACTTCGCACTCTAGTTAAAGTTGGGACGGATTTTTTTTTTTACTAACATATTTTTGTTACTTTGATATATTTTATGTTGTATATTTTATACTTTGAAAGTAACTTTGAAAATGTCTCAGGTAAAAGTTCACTTCTAAATAAAACTAAATTTTACCCAAAATTTAAGTTTTTAATACTTCGAAATTCTATCCAAATTTCACTTCCAAATATATTTTTTTTCCTCCAAAATTTCATCTCCAGATGCCTCGAAATTTTACTCAAATTACAGTTCAGAAGATCTTGAAATGTTTCCCTATTTCACTAGAAGTTTACTACCGCTTAACTTTGCTCAACGATTTGAGTAGCATTAAGTCTTTCCTTTGAGTGCGAGCAACACTAACACTGCTTTATTCAGCAGGCAGCAACTGCCTCAACTCTCTCGTTCTCATTGTTATTCAGCAGGCAGCATATGCCTCAACTCTCTCGTTCTCAGTGTTATTCAGTAGGCAGCCCTGCCTCAACTCTCTCGTTCTCATTGTTTATTCAGAGGCAGCATCTGCCTCAACTCGTCTCGTTCTTAGTGTTATTTAGCAGGCAGCATCTGCCTCAACTCTCTCGTTCTCAGTGTTATTCAGTAGGCAGCATCTGCCTCAACTCTCTCGTTCTCATTGTTATTCAGCAGGCAGCATCTGCCTCAACTCTCTCGTTCTTAGTGTTATTCAGCAGGCAGCATCTGCCTCAACTCTCTCGTTCTTAGTGTTATTCAGCAGGCAGCATCTGCCTCAACTCTCGCGTTTTCAGTGTTATTCAGCAGGCAGCAATTACCTCCGTTCTCTCCTCGGTGTTATTCCTAACGAAGGTCTCTGTTCAGAAACTTTTAGAACAACAGAAGGCGTTCTCTAAACTCAGCCTACACACACACACACAAATAACAACACACACACACACACACACACATACTCCGAACTGCCAATATCCCAAATCCCTCCTTTAAAGTGCAGGCGTTGTACTTCCCACTTCCAGGACTCAAGTCCAGCTAACTAGTTTCCCTGAATCCCTTCACATAATATTACCCTGCTCACACTCCAACAGCTCATCAGGTCCCAAAAACCATTCACTCCTATCTTAACACGCTCACACACTCTTGCTGGAAGTCCAAGCCCCTCGTCCACAAAATCTCCTTTACCCCCTCCCTCCAACCTTTTTGAGGACGACCCGTACCCCGCTTTTCTTCCCCTACAGATTTATACGCTCTCCAAGTCATTCTAGTTTGATCCATTATCTCTAAATAACCAAACCATCTCAACAACCCCTCTTCAGCCCACAGCTCCACACCTCCTAATTTCCACACTCCGAATTCTCTGTATAATATTTACACCACACATTGCCCTTAGACAGGACATCTCCACTGCCTCCAACCGCCTCCTCGCTGCAGCATTTACAACCCAAGCTTCACACCCATATAAGAGTGTTGGTGCCACTATACTTTCGTATATTCCCTTCTTTGTCTCCATTTAGAGGGAAGGAGGATGAGAGGGAGACAGAGAATAGTAAAATATAAGGAAATGAAGAAAAAAGACCACGCCTTGTGTCCAATAATTAAATCGGTTCCTTTTTTTCAGGTGAAGGGTGAACGTTGGTCCAGGTGGCGAGCTGTGGTGGTACAAAGAGATGGAATGAACACCAGATGATTCACCTGGGCAGGATTGTTTGTGACCTGAAGTTCCCAGAATCAAGGGAAAGTGACAGTATCAAGCAACATACATTAATGACCAGGGAAAACTGAAGAGAGGGAACTGAATTTCTGACGATTTTTTGCCAGCAGTCAACGTCATAGTCGACAAGGAGAAGATTGGAGACAATTAAAGGAAGAGGAGCTTTGACGTCACCATTGAAGACCTATTGTATTAATGTAATCGACATTTGCTGTGGAGTGGAATTATTTACATGGAGCTTAAATAATGATGACGATGTCGAACAAAAGGTAACTGCAAGTTTTTTTTAACCGTAGACTGTAGAATGTGGTAGTAATGTGGGAGGAACGATTGTAATACGACGATAACTGTAGATTGTAAATATATATTGCTCGACAAGCAGTAATGAAACGTGAAGTAAATTAATGTTCATTGAAGAAAATCTTTATTAAAACATTTCCCAGTGTAAGCTTCATGACTATTAAGCTTCTCTAAGTACACGTGATTTACTTTCATTAATTAAGCTTTGAGTTTACAGGAATCGAAATAGCAATGAATTTTTAAGTTGTATTTATGAACAGGAAAAATAATTAGAAATTTGGTCATAAGTCTCAGGTATGGAGGAAAGGTATTTTAGATGGCACTATGGTTAAGTCTAAGCTTTTCAAGTCTTGATAAAGTCTGGCTCAAAACGGAGCTTTAATACCCACGTGTGGGCATGTTGTCTCTAGTCAACACATTTCTCACATGAGTGCTGGAAACCCATATGTAAACAGTCACAGGGAATATTTCCACCTCCGAGGTCCTCTTCAGCAGATCTGAGAGTCTGCAACATCACTGATAATTCAACCTCTGATATTTGCTATTAATTATTTTTAATATTCATGGATTTGCGCTCAACCTAAATAAGTAAACCAGCGCCTGGGAAAAGGATGGCTGTTCCAATTCATTGGATCAAGAGCAGCTCAGCTTCAAACTACCTGACCCCATCCATGAAAGGGAAAAAATATAGATGTCGAACAGAATATTGATGATAATTATTGACGACTTTCTTATATTCTTATTACATTATCCAAAACTTTTATGAATGCAAAAATAACTGTTGAAATGTCACTCAAAATAGCGTGAGATCACCAGGTATATAGTGAGTTAACAGAATTGAAAGTTGACGGGTGATTACAAGGCATATCTTTCAATCTCAGCTCTCCTGTGATGTCAGCAATATCCAGTGAAGATTCCTGAAACAAAAGACTAGGTTAGTGTGTGTGTACTCACCTCACCTAGTTGAGGTTGCGGGGGTCGAGTCCGAGCTCCTGGCCCCGCCTCTTCACTGATCGCTACTAGGTCACTCTCCCTGAGCCGTGAGCTTTATCATACCTCTGCTTAAAGCTATGTATGGATCCTGCCTCCACTACATCGCTTCCCAAACTATTCCACTTACTGACTACTCTGTGGCTGAAGAAATACTTCCTAACATCCCTGTGATTCATCTGTGTCTTCACTTCCAACTGTTGTCCCCTTGTTACTGTTCCAATCTCTGGAACTCTCTGTCTTGTCCCCTTGTCAATTCCCTCTCAGTATTTTGTATGTCGTATCATGTCCCCCCCTAATCTCTCCTGCCTCCAGTGCGTCAGTTGATTTTCCCTTAACCTCTCCTCGTAGAACATACCTCTTAGCTCTGGGACTAGTCTTGTAGCAAACCTTTGCACTTCTCTAGTTTCTTCACGTGCTGGCTAGGTGTGGTTCCAAACTGGTGCGCATACTCCAATATGGGCCTAACGTACACGGTGTACAGGGTCCTGAATATTCCTTATTAAGATGTCCGAATGCTGTTCTTGAGGTTTTGCTATAGGCGCCCATATGCTGCAGCAGTTATTTGTTGATGTGCGCTTCAGGAGATGTGCCCTGGTGTTATACACACCCCAAGATACTTTTTCCTTTGAGGTTAGGTTTGTAGTCTCTGAACCCCCTAGACTGTACTCCGCTGCGCCCGTTCTTTGCCCCATCCCAATCTTCATGACTTTTGCACTTGGTGGAATTAACTCCAGGAGCCAATTGCTGGACCAGGTCCCTGCAGCTGTCCAGATCTTTGTAGTTCTGCCTGGTCTCGATCGAGTGATTCTTCTCATCAACTTCACGTCATCTGCAAAACAGGGACACCTCAGAGTCTATTCCTTCCCGTCATGTCCGTTCACAAAATACCAGAAACAGCACTGGTCCTAGGACTGACCCCTGCGGGACCCAGCTGGTCACAGGTGTGTGTGTGTGTGTGTACACACACACACACACACACACACACACACACACACACACACACACACACACACACAACACAAGGGAAATCGCCTGACGACACTTGTAGGAACAAGAGGTATAGGGAAGACATGAATAACGGGCATCAAAAACTGCGTGGAATAAACAGTGACAGACAAGATGTTCCAGAGAGGGGACACAGAAACAAGGGGTCACTCTTGGAAGTTGAAGACTCGAATGAGCCACAGGGATGTTAGGAAGCATTTCTTCAGTCACAGAATGGTCAGGAAGTGGAACACTCTGGCGAGCGAAGTAGTGGAGGCAGGAACCATACATAGCTTTAAGACGAGGTATGATTAAGCTCATGGAGCAGGGAGAGAGAGGACCTAGTAGCATTCAGTGAAGAGGCGGGGCCAGGAGCTGAGTCTCGACCCCTGCAACTACAATTAGGTGAGTACACACACACACACACACACACACACACACACACACACACACACACACACACACACACACACACACACACACTCCAGTATCTTAGTTACGAGACGGGGTCCAAGAGCTGAGCCTTAACCCCGCCAGCGCAACTTTGTACGAAGCCGGTTAATACACTGGAAGGTTACCAGTGAGTCTGGGAGCAAAGAGGAAAGTGTGCATGAGGATTATATTCTTCTCTCATATATATCTCAATGTTTCTTGGTTTGTTAGTTTTTATAACTCGGTCTCCATTAAATCCAGATTAAGTGAACTTTATTACGGCTTTATTGTTTTCAGAAACCGGCTTCAGGCTGTAAGGAGGCTGCAGCAGTTTTATTTTGTTGCTGAAGGTTTAATGACATTTTAAAGTTTTTTATATTGATTTCAAAAACAGGTACGGCATTATAAATTTATCTCAGTGAAGGCAACCCTCTGGAGAGGCCTTTTAATGGTTACTTTCACTGATTTTAAAAACATTTATTTCAGCCTAATCTGATCATACAAAATTTCATATGGGTGTGAATCCCCAACATCAACCTTCTGACAAGGTGGGTGCGGGAGGCCACCCATTCACTCCTTGGACAAGAAGGGTTGAGAGTTCTTGACTTCCCGCCGCACTTGCTTCCTGTCAAGACAAGTGTGGAAGTGTGCATCCCCAACACCGCCACCTGACAGGTGAATACGGGGGCCTATGACCCCCTACCATCCCCTGAAAACTGACACAGCGGCTGCAGCGAAGACTTTAGAAAACCTTGAATGAATAACAGAGGCAAGGAAAAAATATATTTTTAGCATTCATAACTTGTTTTGTGGGAAACCAAGTATGCCACAATATTTTTTATAAATGCAAAAAATATTTTTAAATAACTGGAGATGGTCTAAACTCATATGAGTATACAGCGCCTTTGAATGTGGAGGAAATCAGATCTGAGAAGAGAGGAGACTGCTTCAAATCTTCTCGTCATGAGCTCTTCACCGGCAGCAAGACACCTCCAGTGTGGATAAGAACTATTAGATAAAATGTAAATATTACATCCACAAGCTACTTATACCTCTTGTCCCCATAGATATGAGATCTAAAACATAGAATAATACTTACAGGTTGTGGTGCATGCGGTCTAGAGCTAGAGTCCACCTCAGACCGTCCACAGTCCTCGCCACCTGCTGCCTCCTGGCCTCTGTCTGCATACTCCTTAACAGGTGAATCTATTTTTTTTTATTATATTCCTCTTTTTCGTGCTGACAATTCTGTTTTGGGTTACACAGCACTCAGCCCTTGAACGAGTGATAGTTTTCTAGCATCATGATATCACCCTTAAAAAACATAAAACCTTCCTACCCTGCGTTTAAAGGTTACACTTTGCATATATTGCCGAGGGTTTTTTTTTTTTTTTTTTTTTGGAGAGAGATATTGAGAAATTCGTGTCACGACCTCAATATCTTTACCAATATTAATCTTTTTTTTTTCAGTGTTCTGATGATTGACAGAACTTCATCTAAGATTCCTGTTCAAATCATCAACATGGACGAGGATGATTTCCAACCTGAGGGTCACCCATCACCAACCCATCACCACCACTCACTACCCAAGACCCAGCACTCACCCGAGAATGATCACTTACTTCCTAAGAACCATCATTCACAATCCCCAAACCACCACCAGTTTCCAGCACCCTCTTCCAACTGGCTTACCTCTCAACCTCCAACTAGTTCATGGCTAATATCTCCCGGTAGGTCTCGACGCCCCCAGCATAAAAGCGGGCACAAAATCCTCTCTCATGGGAAGAATATTGCAGAGCATAATTCAGAAAACAAAAATGTTTATCCTGTTGATGCGCATAAAAGCGGAGTCTCGAACAAAAGTTTGAAACAGATGAAAAGCGTATATACGGACAAAGCATATATCAATAATAAGATCAGTGGAATGGAAAATAAATTTGACAATTCTTTAAAGGCTGGTAAAAGTAAGCCGTCGGCTGGTTTCACTGGAAAACCTTCCTCGCCAGGGAGTGGTTGGTTGGACATTGTCCGAAGCGTGGTTCGAGGTGAGAAAAATGTGAACCCCGGTATGCTGCTGGGTGCTGTGGCGGCACTGAAGACACTCCACACAGCGTCCGACTCACAAAATAGTCCACTGAGTTCCGTGATGAGCGCTGCTCAAGCGCTCCAGCGAGTCGTGTTTCCTCAACCTCAAGAGGTAGAGGGAGGCCTACCAGAAACGCAAGGTTTTCTAAAATCTAAATTCAGAAGTATAGAAGAAAAACATAACACAAACACTGAAAGTCGATCTCCATTGGAAGGGAAACAAATGGACATCAGTGTATTAAACCCGAGGGTAGACAGCAACTTACGTAAAAACATTCATTCCAATGTTTCCAATATGCCTTCGAAACATCGAAATTCAAGCCCAGGTAAATTTCGAAGTGTAGTAGGCTCTGTGGTGTCACTTCTGGGTCAAGGAACAGCAGATAAACATGGAAGCCAGAGTCTGGCGGAGTCCTTCATTAACAATCTTGCTTTTCCTTTGCTCGCTGAAGCACTCTCCAGCAATAATAACAAGGCTGACACTTCTAGTCCTCTTCATTCTCTCATGAATGGAATAGGTCCGGCGCTGCTGACTGGGATGATACAACAGGGGTTTGGGGGAGGAGGAAATTCTGATCTAAGAAACTCGTTTAATTCAGCAACGTCTAGTCCTCTTCAGTCTCTCATATCTAAGATGGGACCATCCATTTTAGCAGGTGCTGTACAGAATGGACTCAGTGCTATGCAAGGTGACAAGAAGAGAGAAACAGGATTAAGTAATTCAAGTCCCGTGCAGTCAATTTTAAGTGGCATCGGATCGGCTCTCGTGGCAGGTTTAACACAAGACAAATCGATAAAAAGTCTAAGGTCAAAGACAAACAAGGACTCCCCTACGTCTAATCCTGTTCAATCAATTATATTTGGATTAGCACCGGCTTTAGTAGCAGGAGCATTTAAGTATGGACTGAGCAATGACAAGACTAAAAGCTCTCCTACAGCAAGTAAATCTAGTGTTTCGCAGCCTGTGATGAATAACCTAAGATCAGCAATTTCTCCTACTTTAGTTGAGGAAAGACCTGGCTCAGGAGTGCAGAGTAGGAACCAAAGACTTCCTCGAGATGCAGTGACTGGAGGTGTACATAATGTTCCAGTGGGTGTGAAAATACGAAATGGTAGGACTCTCCAAGTGGACAACAACGAAAGGGAAAGAAAGTCACAAGATTTCAGAGTAATCCTGGAAGACGAAGACAACGCGGCAGAAACCTCAAACGACAATAATGTGAGTGCAAGGATCAACACCCCAGGAGAGAGTGACACAAAAATCAACAAGGTATGGACAGCTTTAGTCTAGTTAAGTATTATTATATTCACGGGGGAGAGCCAAGCTCAGAGGCCATACAGCGATTGGGGAATGGAGTTAATCAGCTTTGATCCGAGGAAGGGGAGGATAACTAATTATTTAGATTCATTCGCAGATATCAGAGAGAATCTTTGCAAGGATATACAGGTAATAATTTAATCTTATATTTTACGACTCCTAAGTCATATTTGGCTGTATTTTTTGCAAGTAAAGAACAGATAATACAATATAGTTTTTTGTTTAATCAAATTTGTTTGATTTCGTTTACATTTGCACGCTTTTTGTAGTTAATTTACTTTTAACTGAACATTTAATTTTTCAAAATCGTTAAACTTGTGTAGGAAAAAAATGGTAGATAAAATAGTTCTCGGGGAATATTACTTTTATGGGGGGGGGGGCGCTAAACCCACAAGGCTCATTCAACGCCTCGGAGGGGGAGGGATCAACAGAAGGCACTCTTGTTCGATCTAAAGAAAGGGAAGTTAAACAGGAGAAGCGTCTTGTTTATTGCATGTCCAGTTGAAGACAGCCAGAAACTACTTTTCGCCCGCATAGCAGGCTTTTACAAGTTCGATCCTTTATACCTGGTGGCAACACTATTTATAGGCAGGTGTTAATGCAAGAAAATAAGCACTGTAGCACTGCAGAGGGCCTACTGGCTCATGTTAGGCAGACTGCTTGAAGACACTACCTTGAAGGGTCCCCATAGTATTGTTGTAGCTGATGTGACAGTGACAGAAGTGTGTGACAGCTCCAACCCAGAATGATCACGCACTCTATTTTGACTGTTGCACGAGTGTCGGTCACCTATAGTATAACATGTTACGAACTTGATACGTGCCACACATCTGCAACATTAGGAATCTTTTCTGACAAAGCTCTTCGTCTCCAATGCAGATTTTCTCAGTCGAATACAGAGATGAATCACACTTCAGGAAGACATTAGCGTCAGCAGAAGACGAAGCTGACCAAGCAGAGTGGTAGTCTGGCATAACAAGTCTATTACCCGAGGTGAAAGATGACTAGTCTCAACCTGAAGTGGCTGATCATCTTGGACGTTGGGTGATGGTCTGATTACGTCAGACTACCTCTCCACTTCGTCTGTTTCGTCGTCTACCAACGCTAATATCTCCTGAAGTGCGATTCATCTCTGTATTCGACTGATGAAACATGGGCAGGAGATGTTTTCTCAAAAAAGATTCCTAGTTTTGTCTTATAAATGATAATATCGACATGTTGATCAATAATTTGATACATGCTACGAAATAGATAATACTGGCAAATATATGTAAAATAGATGCGTATTCAACGTTAGATAATTATGTAAACATTTCGCTTACCAGGGGGTTATGACCGTCCATTGGAATGATAAAGCTCCCTGGTGTGCGAGACTAAATTTGCATACAGGTCTTTCATGTTCTCCTGCAAAGTAGCTGCACACGGTGGAGGCAAAACCATGTCATCAATATAAATTATTAGCAAAGGCTTTTCTTAGGTAACAAAAATACTCTTGCCTTACTCAATTCAGTATTTATTAGTATAAATATTGTACAATGAGGTCTGCCTATTTGGTGTATCCTGTAAAAGCTATCAGTCCCAAGGTAAATTAATACTGTTGTAAGTTGCCGTGAATTTAAGGGTGACAGGACCTGATGTATCTCGGTAGGTGCAGGAGACCCAGGGTGGACTGGTGCGTCTACTGGCCAAGACAGTGGTGGGAAACTTGTTACCGGAAGAACTCCCAGTACCGGAGCTCAACTCCACCCGCGGCGCCTGGGACATGGCCGTCAACCTAGCCTTCGGAAACCCTAAAGACACAAAGGGAAGAACAAGGTTAGATAAGATTTCTTTCCGTAAAATATTAAATTCATGGAAAAGCACAAAGCCCGCAATGTCTAACAGTGCCTAGGTATTAGTAGTTATTTAAATATGAAGAACGTTTTGATAGTGTAGATCAACCGGCTCTCTTGGCAATAATAATATATTCAACACACACACGAACATTAATAAAATTAATAAATAAAAACTAGCATAAATAAAATAATAGCGATGTGTCAAGTTAAAAGCAATAAATTATAACTGTCAGAATAATCTACTAAAAGTTGCCTGAGGTCACAACAAGCGCTGGTAATTATAAAAATATTGACTCATTCCTAAGTAGTGGGAAAACTGAGCGTCATCAGCTACGCACGAACACTGACGAACAGGTGATATAGGGGAGATGTGCGTACTCGATTCTTCGTCGACTAAGATTAGTCTCAAAGTAATGATTTATATTGGAGGAGGAGGATCATCAGACACCCAAATATTCACCAACCCTGTATAATAATTATTATTGTAATAATGTTGATAGAATTGCCGACAATATGTAAAGTAAAAGGACACAAGTGCAACTAATGTGACATTATTGTGGCAACATTTCGCTCTCCAGGAGCTTTGTCAAGTCGTTACAGCTTGACAAAGCTCCTGGAGAGCGAAACGTTGCCACAATAAAATGTTACATTAGTTGCAGTTGTATCCTTTTACAATAATTATCATCATGAGGGAGTGCTAAACCCATCCCTGTATATGTGACTTCCCGAGTGTGGTCTCCACCTGGTGACGTATACCATAACTATTATTCAGAAGTTAAGTTTGATCCAAAGAAAGCGATAATGCTTCAATTTCCTGGAATCATTCCAGGACTTTCCTCTTGAAGGGGATAAAAGTATTATGGAAAGAGAGGTTTTTATTAATAAGTTTTTTAATGACAGTCAGTTCTGGGAATGGCTGAGGGAGTATGGTGGAAGCGGAGGAGCTACGCCCACACCCGCCCCCTGGCTCAACCAAGCATTGCACAACCCACAGAGAGCCGCCCACACCCTCGAGATCGCCAGAGTATACGAAATGATGGAGGTGCGCGAGTCAACATGTACTAATGTGAAGTTGGTGGGAGGTGTGTTCAACTGGAAGAAGGTGAGTGTTCTTCACGGAGAAGTTTCTCTATAATTACCCATTTGTGGTTTCATTATTATAGTCATGGTGATGCCAACCTGTAGGGGGTCATTCAGCGTGTGGAGAATGGGAGATATTTAGATCTGACTCAAGAAATGGGAGGCAGTTCCATTTCCTTGATGTGGGTAAAGGGAGCTTTATCAAGGAAATTAGACCTACCCAACCTATTCTTTGAGTGGGTTATACAGATGCTGTATGACCCACTGGGGCTTAATGATAATTATCCCACTTGTTAATCACTCTTTGAAAAGAAATACTTCTTGAAGTTGTTTATGGTTGTTTAATCAGTAGCACACATGTTTGACCCCGCCTCTTAATTGGTTTCTACCAGGCTCAGTATTTTATCCTCGTCAACCCTCTCATACTTATTATTAAAGCTATGTATAAATTCTCTTACCACGTCGCTGTCAAGCTGTTTTCCAATTCATGACTGAGACTGGATACATATCTCCATGTACATGTTATCTAGCCACTAATAGCCTGTCCTCATCAGTTCTAAGTATTTTGCATATGTAGTTATGTCTTCCCTGATATTCAGTCCTCTGCCCTTCGTTTAATTGATGCCGGGAACTTACTACAAAACCTCAATCTCTGTATCCGAAGTTCAGTACCATCATCCCTTAATTGACACTTTCCCCTCTATGCTCTGTGTCTTGAGTTCACTTCCATCCATGGGAAGTTCTGACAATTCAGGTTTGCTCTTCCCCTCTTCCATATTCAAGGTTTACATATTTATTTTGAATATTTTCTTATTCTCATACTATCGCCTTGCACACCGACGATTCCAAATCCCAGGATGAAGTAAGTTACATGGGTGTTTTTCCAGATAAGAGTAAACACACGAGACCCTGTCTCGTCGAGACCAACAGTGTTCTCGCAATACCATCTCTTGTAATATGCAGCAACGTTGTTTTTCCCTGGTGCAGAATGTACTGGATGGGTCTCGGGCGGTATGTATGGATGCGGACGTCGCCCCCAGAAAGGACTCCTGCATCGTTTACTCCTTCGCGATGCAAACAAAGTGGAGCTTCGAGGAGGACATGGAGAGAATGGGGTGCAAGGTGAGCAATAGTTTAATTTTCACAGGAAAACATGAAACTTGAGGGGTCATATAGTTGGGAATATGAGGAATAAGGTCCAATTCCCTGAATTAAAAGCCTTTGTATCAAGATAAGCCCCTCCTCCCCTTCCTTGAATAAACTGCAAACTTAGTTTGCAGTTTAAAAACCACTGGTTCTAATTCTTGACTTTTTTTTTTATTTCTGCTTTCTAAGCAGTCACTTTGTCAATGAATATTTCCAAACTTTCATTTATGTGAAAAGAGGAAATCAACTGGACAAATTATTGTAACCAGATAAAATGGTTTCTGGTTATTTCGGCCTGAGAAAGCGTCTTCCTCAGATGACTACGATCTCAAGCCAACATTGAAATATACAGATGGAACCTATGTTTCAGTTTTGTGTTTAAGTGGTTTCGTGAGTGTGTGTGTGTGGGGGGGGGGAAAGTTAGGTTTAGTTCTCTTATTTACACTAATATTCAATATTATATCCTCGAATATAATAACTTTAACGTTATACTTGGGACTAATATAATTCCTTAAGTTTATTCTCGACTATTATAATTTCTTTAAGTTATAATTGACCGCAGTATAATATCTTAGTTGTAACTAATTAATATATCCTCTGTTTTTATATGACAAGATCAAGTTATGCTCGACTCTGACGCAAAAAAAAAATATCGTCGACTGCACATAAACATAAAAGTTGTATCGACTAATTATATTGTAAGATAGTTATGTTTGATTCATAAATTAGTGATGGTTTGTCGAGGATAAGATGCGATTTTAATGATCTCTTACAACATATTTAGCTTCACTAAAGAGTTAGACGTTTTAAAATCGTGTTTAGGTACGTAATTTCATTTACAGTTATCCAAGAAAAAGCTTCACTACACTAATATAGGATTTTTATATAAAAAATATTCATCCCCACTCCCCCCTTTAATATTTTTCATACAAATATCTTGAAAATTTAAAAATAACCCAGTATATTAAATGTGGCAAAATTATATTAGGGAAGCATTTATGAATAATTTAAAAGAGTTCTTGTATTTTGTTCATATTTCAATAGTCGAACACAAAATATAATATTCATAGAAATTACTGAATCTGAGGGTCATTCAACTCATTTCTGTGAAGTGACCCATAAATTATTAAATTATCTAAAAATAAATTTGAAAAACCCTCAGTGATTTTTAAGATATTTTAGTATCATTATTTCAGATAATTTACAATTACTTTGTGTTTCAGGTTTGGGCATTTGACCCATCTGTGAGTAATGGAAGTGAGAGCAGCGTCTCCAACCTGCACTTGTACAGTGTTGGTCTGGCAGCTACCAACACTAGCAAGCTGGTACAAGGCCAGGTACGCTCATCAGTGACTTATTCATGGTTACCTGTGGGAGGAAAACTTGCTAATATTGTCCCCAACTTAAAACGTATAAAACATTGAAGTTTGCTGTAAACAAAATACATTTAACTAACAATTATTCATTCGCTAGATAATTACATTTCTACTAATTTCTAGTTTCCATGGCTTATACAAATGAATATAAATATTTAATGACATGGGAGAGGGAATGTATTTTCGAGTATTTTAATATACATGTCTTCGGGGACAGTGAGTGGATATGTAATTTCTTGCTCGACACGACTTTTAAAAAATTTTCTTCCTACATTCAACACATCGGCCGTCTCCCATCGAGGTAGGATAACCCAGAAAAGAGAAAAAAACATTCACCATCGTTCATTCAATGGCTGTCCTGCTAGAACCGTGCTGACATCACAGCTCAGATGACCCTCCCGGCTAAATGAACGTTATCCCTTCAGAGTGCAGGCACTGTGCCTCCCACCTTCAGCTCTGAGTCTACATAACAGGTTTTTCCTGAATCCCCTCAAAAATGTTCTCTCACTCCAACAGCATGTAAATTAAACAAATAAAAATTTGTCTCCACTCCAGTCTAACGCGTTAACAATAATTCTGTTGGATATAGACGCCCCTACGACTCAAAGCCTTCTCTACCCCTCTAAGCCTTCCTGAAACGGTTTCGACCCCTCTCCTTCCGAAATTTACATAACCTCATCATCCTACTTTACTCGCTCCTCTGTATGTCTAAAATCTCTACAACTCCTCCGCCCTTTAAATTATACTTCTGGTATCCCAGTGGTCTAGCACTTAATTTTGATTATAATAATGTACTTCTGATAACCCCGCATTTAATATCCAATTTCCGAATTCTCTACACAATATTCATACCCCACACAGCATCTCCACTGCTTCCAAACGTTGAAAACTCTCTACTCCCCACCCACGTAACAGATTTGGTACCACTGTTTTATGGTACATTCTCCTTGTTCTGGCCTTCATGTTTAAAGTTCTTAGTCTCCACCTATGTCTTAACATACTACCCACACTTTTCCACTCGTTTATTCTGTGGTTCACTACATGTTCCATAGCTCTATCTGCTGACATGTGTGCTTCCTAAGATCATACATACATTAAAAATACATGCTAATCCTCCCTTGGGTTTTCCGCAGAGCTGTAAGTAGGGGTATGCGAGAGAGAGTTGAGGGATCGAGAGGGTGCAAAAGTTAAACTGGTACACTAGATCATTTTGTTGTAGTGAGTTACTCTGTGTTAAAGGTGGGTCTTTCAGAGAGGTCAGTTGGGAGTATGTGAGGGCGAGCTCTCTGATAGATTGGACAGGCTATTAATACATGTTCGCTGTTAAGTCTTGTTTTTGTCAGATTCACTGACCTGCGAGTGCAGTGTCCCCATGTCCGACAGTTATGGAATGCTTATGACCAGGCTCCCAGTTGCAGCTTGACGAAAATAAATTTGTCCTCTGACTCAAGAGTGGTGTTCGTCTCTGGAACAGTACTGGAAAATAATCTTGTGAGAGTTCGTTTGATCGTGAGGCCGAGTCTGTTTATTACCATGAACATCAGTTCTGGGATCCAGCAAAAAAGAAAAATATTTGCCTTTGCTAGAAATTTGTCATAAACATTGTAACCGGACGTGGGATTCGTATTTCTGTATAATTTGTTTGGTACTTCGTGGGTCTGAGACTATGAATGCTGAGGTGGGCTAGTTGAAGTGTAAGATAACCATTGTGACGCACAACTCTGCTGGAAAATGCTGGCAGACTGGATTGATTACTCTCTGGAAACTGTTGCATGCCTTACTCAATTTGAAGACTTTGAACTACTAGTGGTATGCACCACCACGGCATGATAACGTAGTCGGAAGTGTTCAAGGGAGAGTGTGTGAAGTAGGTATGTCGGACATTGCGCATGGAAGGTGCGAGGAGCAAATGTGAATAGGTGTAACTTCCTAAGGACTTCATAGTATATATCTGTTAATATACATGCTCACGAGATGGAAAGAAAAGACGATGAATCCCGTCAGTTTGCAAAATGCTCAAACAAGCTAACTTTTTACTCTTATGATATTGCAGTAATACCTCCGTCTGTGGTTGCTGTCATCACTTTATCCATTTCTCTACTTTAATTTTCACACGTTTTCTTGGCCTTTCAGCATTTGCTTACTTCATCATATTCTTCATCCATATTTCAGTTTTTCTTTGATTTTTCTTTGTTCTTGCTATTTTGGTATTCTAAGACTGCATATTACCCCGCAGGAGTGGCATCTCTTACCGTTCTCCTCTGTGCTGGAGCAAATGGGTCATCAGACTACCACGATCGACTACCTCAAGCTGGACATCCAAGGTGATGAGTGGGAGGTGAGTGAAATCAAAGAGGTACAATTAGGAGAGTTGAGTACAAAAAATTAATTA